GAAAAAATAAAAGAAATTAAAAATATTCCTGAATTACCCATTACAAATACTAATATATTGGTTGCTGCGGGAAACAAAACGCATCGTATAAAAAAACAAATCCTTTTACCAATAAACATAACAGATGACATCATGATAGATGTACAGTGTTTGGTAGTCCCAGGGTTAAACTGCAATTTATTGTTTGGAGCAAACTGGCTAACCAAATACAAAGCAGTAGCTAATTTCGCGAAGGCTGAATTAAATTTAGAATTAAATAACAAAACGGTTGTTCTAAAAATTATATATAAATTAAAAAAATCAGAATTTAAAATTAATTTATGTAAGAAAGAATCTGACGAGGTAATCCCGAAAAAAATGGAAAACACGCCGTCTATGGTTAGGCACAGATATAATGAAAATGACCTTGCAAATATTACAAATGAAATAAATCAAAAAAATTGCGAGCTTCAGGAGTTACTGGTAAATTACTTAGATATTTTTTCAGAAACTCCTAGTTGTGTTAATAATTATATGCATGAAATCGAGTTAAAAAATGATACTATTTTTAAAGCTATGATATACCCTATACCTTTTGCATACGCAAATGAAGTTAGAAGACAGGTCGATGAAATGTTACAGTGGGGTATTATTAAAAAAGAAAAAACTAATTTCATTTCACCACTCGTATGCGTAAAGAAAAAAGACAAGTCGGTTCGGGTTTGTTTGGATGCTAGGGAACTCAATAAAAGGATAGTTGGTGATTACGTCATGCCGCCTAATCCCGGAGAATTATTATTTAAATTTAAAAGAGGACAAATATTTAGTACACTAGATCTAACTGCGGCTTATTGGCAAATTCCCGTGAAACAAGAACATACTAAATATTTAGGCTTCGTTTTTGAAGGAGTCACTTATAGTTTTTGTAGGCTACCTTTCGGCCTAGCTACGTCGATGGCGAGTTTAATACGTTGTGTAAGTTTAGCGCTAGGGCCAGAGTGTGAAAGTTTCACATGCGTTTATGTTGACGATTTAATAATACATTCCGATAACGTTGACGTACATCTAGAGCATTTAAAAATAGTCTTTGATAAACTGAGGGATACTAATTTTTCGATTAAGTTGCGCAAATCCCAATTTTTGAGATCGGAAGTACGTTTTTTGGGACACGTGATTTCGACACAAGGAATCTCTTTGGATCCAAAACGCATTGATGCGATTAAAGATTTTCCACGTCCGCGAAATTTGAGGGAATTGAGGGGATTTTTAGGGCTCGTAAACTACGAGCAGCGATTTGTAGAGAGATATGCTGACTTAACAGTTCCTCTACTAAAGTTACTCAAAAAGAATCAAAGATGGATGTGGGGGGTAACGGAAGAGAGAGTTTTCGAAACCATTAAGGATGCTTTTTTAAAGGCTATGTTAATTCATCATCCGGATTTTGCATACCCTTTTTTCATACAATGTGATAGTTCGGCTGTAGCCATAGGAGGTAGTTTGTTTCAGTATTCAAAAGTAAATGAAAAAAGAGTAATTGCTTACACCAGTGCAACGCTTAAAGGCAGCCAGTTAAGGTATACTGTGACAGAGAAAGAGGCATACGCGGTAGTGCATTGCCTGAAACAGTGGCGCACTTTGATTTTAGGAAGGGAGTTGATTATCAAGACCGATCATAAATCATTAGTATTTTTATTATCATGCAAATTAAAATCGGCTCGATTAGCGCGGTGGACAATGTTCATTCAGGAGTATAATTTTATAGTAGAACATTGTAGCGGTTCGCAAAATGTCGTGGCCGACGTATTATCACGTGCGCTAACGGATAACGATGAGGAAGTAAGACCGGAATCACGAGGAGACGTCAATGTGTGCCTTTTCAAAATTTGTGATGATTTCGATAAATTACAGAATAATTTTAAGGGTATGAGAGAGGATCAGTTAGAAGAAAAATGGATCAGTGAAAAAATTGTTGTTTTGGAAGGAAACAATGATAACTCAAAAATTTCAAGATGGTTTGAAATGCATGAAGGGTTGCTATTTAAACGGGGCGACGATAAAAATCCAGGGTACAAATTATGTGTACCCAAATCGCAATGCGTGGAATTAATTTTAGCCCATCACCGGTCTATGGGACATTTCGGAAAAACCAAAACGTATTTATACATGAGGGGATTATTCTTTTGGCCAAAAATGGCGAAACATGTCCGGCAAACTGTTGCTTCTTGCGAATTGTGTCAGAAGACAAAATCTTCACCGTCATGTCGAGGTTATTTAAATTCAGTTATAACAAAAAGACCGGGCGAATTAGTTTGTCTTGATTTAATTGGTCCATTGCCAGTAGGAAGAGGGGGCGTCATCTATTTATTGGTGATTGTGGACGCATTTACCAAGTATGTAAAGCTTTACGCAATAAAAAAAGCGACTACTAGAATCATTCTAGACCGTATTTTTAAGGATTATATACCAAAGGTTCAAAAACCGAAGGCAATCCTTTCTGATAACGCAACTCAATTTTCCAGTGCCAAATGGGCACAGGAATTAAACAAAATGGATATTAAAGCCAAATTAATATCAGTTTATTTTCCGCAGGGTAACATTACCGAACGTTATAATAAGGAAATTATACGTATTCTTCGCGCGTATTGCCACGAAAAGCATACCGGATGGCCCAATTTATTGTCTTTGATAGAGGATTTTATGAATAATAGCATAAATATTAGTACAGGATATTCACCGTTGTATTTACAAACCGGAAATAATGCATTACCTTCGATAAAGAAATATATCTCGTATCCAAACGAAGCGGATAATGGGGGGTCCTTGGAAACTGTTTGGGAAATGGCTTACGAAAATTTAAAGACAAAATCCGAAAAACGTGCCGAAAAGGTAAATTTAAAAATACGTCCTGTTTCTTTCGAACCGGGAGATAAAGTTTTAATCCGCACTCACTATCAGTCTTCTGCTATTGAGCGTACTATAAAAAAGTTCTTTCTACTATTCGAAGGTCCTTATTATGTTATTCGAAAGGCCGGGCCCAATTCCTACATTGTCGGAGACGAAGCTGGTAATAAAGTTTCAAAGCAAAATGTCATTAACTTAAAACCGTATAAATCTCCTCTAGTTCTCGTTTAGCTACTTAATATTTACTTGATTATTTAATGATATTGAGATTGTTTTCTTCACCTGTTCTTTTGTTCGTTGTTTTTATCGTTCGTTGTTTTAAAGGATAACTTAAACATCGATTATACGAGTATTACTATATTTAAGTTGGGGGGTGATGTAGTGGTACCCAATGTTACGCTCATGGACAGGTATAAGTGCGCGACAAGGGCGATTACGTCAGCGTCTGAGAGCAGAATGCATTCAGACCGGTTATTCGGCAAATTAAGATGTTTTTTGGCACTTCGCTTGTGGCCGTCTCGCAGACCACTGCACCTGACGACCGGCACAGTTTTATATGTTTTACATGTATTTTTCATTATTTTTCTAATAAAAAGTTGTGTTTTCTCATCGAGAAGAATCTTAATTATTCCTGAACCCACCGACTGAGCAAACCAGAGCAAAATCAATGCCCTGTTCACCAAGCATATTGGCTGTTCTTGATAAGCGAGAGACAGGAGTGTGATATCCATAATTTTTATAATGAAATGGAACAGCCAACAAACTGTGGTTACGAGTGGTCCTATTCTGAATCCTATGTGAGAAAAGAGACAGAAGTTCTGGGAAACAAATATTCCCTGACAATAGTTTGAATAGCAAAGTAATTTCCATAAATATTCTACGGTTTTCTATTAATAAATTAAGTGTATTGAAAACTTCCTCATAACTGTAATTGCCAACCTGTAAGTGCATTTTGTATGCTGCATATCTCAAAAATTTGTGTTGTATTCGTTCAATTGCTGAGATATGAACTACGTAATGGTGCGTCAGACTATAGAACCATATTGCAGTAACGAACATACCAAAGCCTTATAAACCACTAAAATAGCTTTAATTGTTAAATCATTCGAACATTAAAGAGGTTGAAAAGCAGTGGCCCCAAATGAGAGCCCTGAGGAAACCATAACTGATTTTGAAGTGTATTTTTTAATTTTCACTGTGTTCTCCCTCTAAAATCGCTGGATAACCAGACAATTAACCAAATCCATCAATTTTAATTTGTGAATTAGAAGAGCATGGTTCATCCTGTCAAATGCTTTACTGAAGTCAGTTATATACTCAACTTTTTTTAGTATAAAGATTTTATAAAGTTAACAGAAAAACTTTTAAAACACAGGATGTTGCACAAAAACTGCTTTCCTAATTTTTAAAGTTTTTGCAATCGGTTTAACACCCTGTAGGATATGTAGTGACAGGTCTTAGATTTATTTAATATAATATTAAAAATTCAGAACACATCTTTTATAGGGGATGACTCGTAAAATCCGAAAAATAATTTATGCCCTTTGAAACCACATTTATGGGTCACTCTGTATAAAATATGAAGTATCATCAAGATTCAATTACTTAAACAATATTTTCATGGTACAATGATAATTAATCTTATTTTTAACGCTGCCATAAAAAATGATCTTTTCAAAAAAACATTTCATATTTCCGAACCACCATGTAATTAACCAATTTCTACAGTAACTTTTTATAAAATATTAGTGCAAAATAATCTATAATTCAAGTTACGAGACATATACTTACAAAAAAGTGGCATTTCTGATATTCAACACTCTGTATCTCGAAAACTAGTCATAGAATCGGTTTAGGCCAATGCACACTTTTTCTCAAAATATCGAGTTCCTGATCCTTTGAAGTCATCAGATTCTGACTCTCGTCAACACAAACATTCTCCTCTATCCTCTTCAGCTCTATGAATTCTTCTTAAAGCCACCCTTATAACATCGTTGAAGGACGCCAAGCTTAGCTTGTACTACAATAAACTCATAAGTTCATTCTTTCGTTTGCTAGTGTTAAATTTTCATATACGAATCGCCATAAATGTGAAATGTTTTTAAATATTTTTTTTTTAGATAAATACCGACTCTGCTTCCCGCACTGAATCCACTCCACAACCGTCTGCTCCGGCATCGGAAACGCACGCCGAAGATTCACCTCGTGCACCACCATCACCACCGGTGCACCACATACTGCCGGAGTCGTTGGTCAATGGAGCCGTAAACGCTGTAAGTAGTGTGGCGCGGTCTGTGATAAATAGAATTGTCCCACAAGGGGTGAGTCAAAAATTGTAAATTTCTCTTTAGTAGCTTGTTTTTTTTTGTATATTTTTTATCAGCATCTTGAACTCGCTTGTGTACATTTTGTTGGTTTAATGTTTAAATTTTGAGAAACATCTCGAGTATTTTTCTTTTTAAATATATATCTAATTTTATGCGAATATTAAAAACAAAATCATATTTGTGTGTGTGTTTTGTGTGGTTTTGAGTTTGGCTTTTAGGTATTAAAATCTATTTCTATATTAGTCCATCGGAATTAGGCGATTAATGTGAAGTTCAACTTTACTCCATTTACTTTTAAAAGACTTGTATATAGTGGTGCTTAAAATGAAACGAGATCGGTACTATTTATAACTTTCAGAGTGGCACTCTAAACTTTGATTCTTATTGGTTGGATTTTGTAACCGTATAAATTATTTGGTTGTAACGCCTAAGTAAAAGAAATTATGTTATTGAAGAGATAAAAGACAGTACTACTCTTTTCCATGTCTTATGTGATTCTTGTTACATCCGATAAATGTTTTTAATTCGTATTGTACATTGATCTTGCAGTTTTACTGTTACACACTTTTGTTGCTTTTTATAAGGTTATAATTGAAAAAGTAAATTCTTGTTATGCGACAGGGCCGATTTATGTGTTGCAATCGTGAGTGTTTGAATGCAGTTGAACAAATGTATGTAAATAGAACTTATTTTAGATTATTTTTTATTGTTATTTTGATAAGAATAGATTCTAAATAAATGGGATCTGGTTGAGAAATGCTGTGAACTGTTCTCATTACGTTAGTCTTTCTCCTCAATTTTGGTAACTCGAACCTCATTTAAAATTAAAACTTCAAGGTGGTACCAGTGCCTTTTTGCTCATGAGGTTTCTCAAAACATTATAATTCATAATTTTTATTATTTAAGCTAGATTGCTCAAAATGAATTGGGGATTAGTAAAATATATGTTTATTTAAGGATTTTTGGTTTTTGCCAGCTTTTAAGGCGACCCTTAATTCATTTTGCACAGTATATTTCTTAGTTTTTAATAACTTTACTTCAACTTATCCATTTTTTCTGACTTTTAACTTTTCTGATTTTACATGTAAACTATTAATGCACTTTGCTTTTGGCTGGCCCTTTTCACAATTCTAATATCATGGACATTTTAAACTATCTAAAAGCGCATGTACGAATTTATTTTTTTTATCGTATTATCATAATTCATTGCTTATAAATAATTACATATTTTCTTTCTCTCATCATAATTTCTTTACACTAAATTGATGGTGTCAGTCTATTAAAAAATCTGGTATGAGATATGTCATCAATATAGTTAAAATCGTCAATCATAGACAGTAACAAAATGTTAGGAATGAGTAAAGGAATGCTGACAGCTGTCATGGCTTCAAAATTCGTAGATTTACTTTACCAGCTTTGAAGACTGAACAGATTCTAGAAATTTTCAAAATGTCTAGATAGGTTTTATTCTTTTAGTACACGATTAATTATATAAAAAAAGTGGAACTGACGAAAGGCCTATACAATGTTTTACAAGTTTCGATGAAACATTATCAGGGCCACAAGGTAACTAATTTTTTAATTTATTAATTGCGATGACTATTTGATGTTTAGATATATAAATAATATTACGGAAATTACTAGGATTTGTATAAACATCAAGTATCAAAATGCTTGGCAAAAGAATTTGGGCACTTTCCCGGAAATCATTGTTTTATTTTGTTTAGATTGAATAATATGGCCAAAAACTTTGGTGAATAATTTTTTTGCTATTTTTCGAATAGTATCAAATCCTGAGAATATTAAGAATACCAGAATACTAAAATTATTTGTTTTTATATATATTCGATACTCTTTTTTTTTAAATTTTCCACACTCGGTTTTTTTAAACTATTTTTCAAACTGTTCTGTCCGAAACTTCTGTTAATTTCTCATCTACTGTATAAACTGGAAAATGTTTGTGAATAGCGTTGTATACGTTTTTTATTGAGTTACAAGTATGTTATGTTGAGAATGGGGTGTTAATACACTGCGACCTAAAAGATCTGTTGTGCCCCCTTCTGTCGCCACTGCACTAAGGAAATGTCTCAATGCCTATAGCGACCCTTCCAATCCTATTTTCTCAAGGAAGTGTAGGATTTGAAGTGGCTTCAAGTTAGGTAAGTCTCCCTCTTCTATTTGATATCCTCCTAGATATAGTGCCCTTGGATTCTGGAGTGCTACACATTCAGTTAGGATGTGAATGGAGGTTTCGTCCTCCTCCTCACAGAATCTGCACTCACTATCCTCTACTACTCTCAGTTTACTTAGGTGTCCTTTTAGTCGGCAATTCCCGGTAAGGATCCCTGTTACAATGCGTAGCCTGTTCTTGCTCAGGCAGATGCAGGCTTTCGATCTTTTTTGGTTATATTCACCCAGAAGTATCTTGGCCTGTCTCAGCCCCAAGAGATTGTTCCAATTATCGGCATTTTATCCTGGGGCATGTCCCAGGTATCTTTAGTCCTGAAGCAAGTAGACTTTCGTCTGATTACTCCGTTCCTGATCATTCTATATCGTGTCCTTTTTGCCACATTCTCTATCATCAAATGTAGAGGGGTGAGGTTTAAGATCACCTCCATTGCGGCCGTAGGACAGGTTCTCATTGCACCAGTAATGCAAACACAGGCTAGTCTTTGTACTTTTGAGATATTAGCTCTCGTAGTAACTAAACTAGTTCTGTTACTCCAGGCTATAGCCCCATAAGTGATGATTGGTCTCACTATTGCAGTATACATCCATCGCAGTATGTTTGGGTTACATCCCCATCGTTTACCTGCAATGTTTCTGTATACCATTAGGGCTTTTGTGGCCTTATTTACTACTTCCTTCTCATGTGTGTTCCAGAGAAGTTTGTTGTCCAGGGTTACGCCTAGATATTTGACTTCATTTTTCCATTCTATATCTATCCCGTCTAATTTAACGGTTTTGAGATTAAGTTTTCTTTTCCTTGAAAAGGCTACTAGTGTCCCACTTCACGGCACCATCTTTTGGTATGTTCTAGTCCTCGTTGGACTATATCACACAGGATATTACTAAACTTGCCACTAGCAAATATGACTATGTCGTCGGCATAACCTTGACAGGGTATGCCGAGGTCAGTTAATCTGCATAGAAGTTCGTCTGGCATTTTAAATTCGTTGTTGAATGTGAGCTACTTGCGATCCTGGTATCCTGGTATGGTTCCAATGGGAGATTCGAAGTTGTCTAGTTCTATGTCAAACATCAAGATGTAAATTCAGTTGTTCCCACAAACGTTACAGTGGTATATATTCTGTATTCCGCCATGAATCTTTTTTGTAGTCTTTCTATTAACTCCTCTCTGTTGATGTTTTTGGGTTTGTTCAGCTTTTGTACATAAGAATTTATTATTATGTCATGAACTGTTATTGGGAGTGAATTATGTTCATATTGTCCTTAGTTTGGTCAGATTTTTTATTTATTGTTTTTACTGGTAAGTTGGGAATTCCTGTTATTGGTTTTTTGGTCTTTTAGGACATTTAAATGACCAAGCCTGATGATCTTCTGAAACACATCCACTGCATTTTGGGGGTAGCGTGGTTGGACACTTGTTCGTGGAATGCAATTGCATTTTGTGTTTTATGTGCAATTTTCTGTTGAGTGGGTAAATTTTCTATTTTGAGCCATTCTAATAGTTTTATTTTAGACGAAATTCTATCGTACTTTTTTTATCCCAAAAATAAATCTGCAACATGAGTTTTCGGATTTTTTGTAACCTATATTTCGTAAATTAATCTAAACAAGGATAAAATAAAACCAAGCCATAATTTAAAATCGATAAAACTAAACTCTCACAAAGAAGTTTCCGTAAGGGAAAACTGAAAATTCCTCGGTTCCTTCATAATTGACGAAGAACTAAATAGGATTTCTTTACCAACAGAACGTAAATTTCAATCAAAGATAATGCCAAGACTTTTGGCACTACTAACAACTTTTAAAGGTTGATTTTCAATGACCAGTTTGATATTTTTTAAGCAACTTGCATTGGCAGTTTTTGGATAGAAGAACATTGTAGAGAACTTATTACCATTTAGTTTTAGATTGTGAGCTTTAGAATACTTGGCCACTTCGTTTAAGTCTCTGTTTATGTAGTCAGAAATACTAGTGCAGTTTTTTAGATCAAATGAGCAGTATAGTTGAGTATCATCGGCAAAAGTTTGAATTTTAACGTAATTTACAACTAAATTTATGTCGGCAGTGTAAATTAGAAAAAGTAAGGGACTCAGTACAGAGCCTTGAGGGACTCCAGAGGTTACAGATGAAAAATTTGATGAACTACTTTTTGATGTCGATTACTTAAGTAAAATTTAAAGAATCTCAAGGATGTATTATCAAAACCATAAGTCAAGAGTATCAAATGCTTTTGAAAAGTCTAATTGTGTTAATGCTGTAGTCAGCCCTACATAAAGGGATTTTATTATGTTGTCACTGACATTTAATAAAAGGATAGTTGTACTAAATCCCTTTCTGAAGTCAGACTTGCTAACTAATAGTTTTTTCAAGAATTTTTGAGAAGTTTGGAAGAATATTTATAGGATATAGATCTCTAAAACTTTCAGGATTTTGAATTTTAGGTACTAAAGCAAATTTTCAAATATCAGGAAAATAAACACGTTCTAAACAACAATTTACGATATGTGTCAGACAAAGTTGCAGCATTTTATCGGATATACCATCACTACCAACTGCATTTGACTTGAGATTTATAACAATTTATCTTATTTCGTCAAGAGTAGCCAGACGAAAAGAAAAACGTTTATCAGGTTTAAATTGAAATGAGTTATAATCATGAGTGGTTAATGGACAGGCATTTCTAGGGGTAAAAACTGATAAAACATATTTATTTATCTCAGTAGGATTTTTAAAGACTCAGAAATTTCATGTATAGCTTTATTTTTAACATTTGAAGAATTTATTGTTCTCCAAAATTGTTTAGAGCTACCGGATTTAAAATGGTGAGCGAGATACGCAGATTTTTCTTTTCTAATAGTTGAAGTAACAGTATTTCGAATATATTTATAGTAAATGTAGTCAGATATGTTTTTAGACTTTTTATATTTAGAAAGTCCCTTATCTCTTATTTTCATCATGTCATATTTTGCAGAAAGATTGCAACAACTGGGTAATTCTTAGTTAATTATTAAAAAACTCAAGTCAACGACAAAAAAGTACCGTGATCTACCTTTTATCGCACCGCTGATCTGTATTAAAGACAACTGGCCACGCTTATGAATATGACGATGCATTTTTATACCTTAGTCTATCAGAATAACAGTCTAAGACATATGGCAATGCACTACAAGTTGAGTCAGAGATGTTAGCTCAGATAGATGTACATCTCGGGTCTAATTTTATTAAAATAGATTTAAATATGATACCTCAAATTTAAGTATTGTAATTTGTCTCTTAGACAAATAATCTCAAGTTTGATATATTATGTGATAGTATTTTTAACATTTTATTTACATAATTTGTATAATGAAAGGAATTCTTCATTCAGTGTATGGCAGGTGTTACACATTCCTGACATTTTTCTACTTCCTATTTTTGACGAATTTCAGTATGCTATATGACTGATAGTAATTGACCAATCTTATGGAAAAGTTCGATATCTTCCTTGTTGAAAGAGATATTAAAAAAGTGTATTAAGAAAATTATTGACATGTTTGAGGTTAGCATTTTAAAATTATTGGGAGGTATACAGGGTGTTGCATATATCGTGAACGAACCAAACATATGGTTTTTTTAATGATAACCCCAGTATATTATTTTAGATTCTGTTTGCTCATATTTTTTCCATTCTTCTATTATATAGTTTGTCTATGTTATATAGGGTACTTTTCAAGGAATTGACATTTTTGTGAGAGAATCGTACATAATTCAACGTCCAGCAGCCAATTAAACATTGTAGAAATTTTTTTTTTACCCACACAAATTTTTTAATATGATGTATTATACTTTTTTTTAGTTATATTTTTATTATCTGTTTATTTGTATACAGGGAGACTCAATACTCAAACCCTTGATTTTCTTGTTTTATTTAAATGGGACACCCTTTATTTTATATCACCAGTAAAATCATCTGTTCCAAGTCTTTCATTTTTATAAAGCATTCCCTATACCTAAAGTTGACATTTATCGATATTTTTTAACAATAAATGAAAATTATGGTTATTTCGATAAATTAAACTAGTTTTTCATGAAATACTCTTTATAAACAATAATAAATAATATGTGTTATTTTTGTATCTAGTCGCCAATGCATTTAATATACCTGTCACTGTCCAGTTGACAATTTTGACATTTTAAAAATCAAGAGCAACTGCCTGTGTGTTAATATTTTAAGTAAATTACTAATAATAAGGTGAACAATACGAATTTTTCTATCCCAGAAATGGTGGATATGATTTATATACTAGGTGAGTGCAACAATAATTCTTTACTTGCCTCCAGATATCCTGAACGTCGGAAACCAAATAAAAAGGCGTTTGAAAAACTAATGGACCGTTTTAATCGTACTGGTACTGTATCATACGAGCAAAAACAAGTAACAAAAACTGCTATCACGGAAGAGAATGAAATGAAAGTATTATTGAGTATTTATGATGACGGGATATTAGTAAACGAAATATTTCAAGACAACAAGTCAGTTACGGAACTGTTCAAAGAATCCTATCAAAACATAAAATGATCCTTTCCATATCCAGTTACATCAAGAACTTCTTGAACGGGATTTTGAAAATAGGGTGATATTTTGTGAATGGTCCCAACAAAAAATTAATCAACAAAGAAATTTCTTTGATTTTGTGCTCTTTGGTGATGAATCGACTTTTCATTAAAATGGAAGTTTAAATAGGCATAATTTTCACTATTATTCTACAACAAACCCACACATTATAGTCACTCATAGCCAAATGAGGTGGTCATTAAATGTTTGGGGTGGAATTGTGGGTCATTATGTGATAGGGCCACACTTTTTTGAAGGACGAGTAAATAGTGCAGTATATTTGGATTTCCTTGAAAATCATTTGCCTACGTTATTCGAAGATGTTCCCCTTCACATTCGCCAACAAATGTGGGTTTTGCACGATTGTGCACTAGTGCATCACACTGTAGTAATTCATAATTATTTAAATAATCACTTTCCAAGACGGTGGATCGGAAGAGGAGGACCGATAGGGTGGCCAGCGCGATCACCGGTTCTGACAAAAAATTATTTTTTTTCTGTGGAGGTTATGTAAAAAACAAAGTATATAATGTGCCTGCAACGACAAAAGAGGACATGAAAACTCGAATCAGAAATGTATTTCAAAGTATTGCTATTCAAATGCTGAGAAATGTGAGTCAGTCATTCGAAATTCGATTACAAAACTGTATTGATGTTATGGGAGGTCATTTTGAACAACTTTTATAATTATGTTTTAATTGTTTTGTTTGTTTTTGAGTTTTTTGTATTCACACATATTATTTATGACTGTTGATAAAGAGTTTTTTTATGAAAAACTAGTTTAATTTATCGAAATAACCATAATTTTCATTTATTGTTAAAACATATCCGACAAATATTAACTTTAGGTATAGGGAATGCTTTATAAAAATGAAAGACTTGGAACAGATGATTTTACTGGTGATATAAAATATAGGGTATAGCATTTAAATAAAACAAGAAAATCAAGGGCCTGAGTATTGAGTTTCCCTGTATACAAATAAACAGATAATAAAAATATAACTAAAAAAAGTATAATACATCATATTATAAAATTCGTGTAGGTAAAAAATTTTTTTTTCTACAGTTTGTAATTGGCTGCTGGACGTTGAATTATGTACGATTCTCTTACAAAAATGTCAATTCCTTGAAAAGTACCCTATATAACATAGACAAACCATATATTAGCAGAATGGAAAAAAGATGAGTAAACAAAATCTAAAATAATATATTGTGGTTATCATTAAAAAAAACATATGTTTGGTTCGTATACGAGCTATGCAACACTCTGTATACCTTACAATAATTTTAAAATGTTAACCTTAAACCTGTCCATAATTTTCTTAATACACTTTTTTAATATCTCTTTCAACAAGGAAGATATCGAACTTTTCCACAAGATTGATTCACCCTGTATATCTAATTTCTTTGCATTATTTATAAGCTATACTTGCTTGTAGTTTTATTTTTAAGGCAGTCTTTCCGCATACTTCAATTGGTTATTTTATTATTTCAGCAACCCGGACGATGGGTCAACGGTCATTGGATCAGCAACAATCCCGATTCAACCCGCGAAGCCAACCTTCAAGCGTTGGCCGAAATGGGATTCTGGAACAGAGATCTGAACGCCACGCTGTTGGCCAGATACAGCGATGATCTATCCAGAGTCGTCGCAGAACTCGTGCAATAGATTTACTAAGAAACAGTGTTACTCGAAAATGCAAAATACTCCAGAAACGTCCATCTTTTTTTTTTTGTTCAGTTGATAGCTTAACAACGGCAGGCGATTAGTAAGGTCGAATCAGATTGCTAGGCTTAAAAGTATGATATATTTTCGAATATTTTGTAATTAAAATCGATAATTAAATATTTTGGAACGAAATGATTTACGAATTTTGTGGGATGGTTAAAAAATATGAATTTTTCATTTTATAGTATTTTGATAATAAAATAACAGATAGTTAGGCGTTTTATATTCTAATATGTCAACAAAGACAAGCGTGAAGTTGGTTTCGAATAATTTTTTGTTCCGTGCTAGTGAAGGTCATTTGAAAGAAGAATGAAATTAGTTTTGTATCCAACTTCACAATTGACTTGGTGACGTCATAATAAAAAAATCTGGATGATTTTAAATGTTAAGTATAAAAATCAGAAATAGTTTGTTGATAAATATTGTACGAAAACGAAAGATAGAGGAACTGTATATGATTTTTTTGTTATTTTCTACATACTTTGTTTCTTTTTCTATTTACTTATTGATGTTAATTTTTTCCCAGTTCGACACTGGCGCCTCCTGGGTCTGAGTATTTTGCATAAAAAGAGATTTTACCAATAGCTAATAAACACGGGCTTTATTTCCATTCTATAAGCACTAATTTGTTCGTTTTAGACGTATTATTGGTTTAGAGGTAGGTCATATGCATAATATATTAATATACACTGGTAATGTTATAGTTTTTGGAGTATAATATCCGTTCTGTTTAGTTTTACCGTATAAGGAAGAATGATATGAGACTGATAACTATTGACGATCGGCAAAGAAAATTTTTGACGAAAATGCTTTCTAAACTTGTAACAAAAACCGGTTTCGGTGGTAGTTTTGATATCGACATATTTTAACAAGGAACATGTTTTTAATATTATTTCAGCCTTTCAGAAGCCAATTCTGCAAAATGTTCTTTAAAAACTTCTTAAATTTTGAAACAACAAAAAAGTCGCATAGGGTTCAATCTGGCGAATACGGAGGATGTGGTATGGGGTTTTACTTCATTTTTGTTAAAAATGCTTTCTAAACTTCTAATAAAAACTCGTTTGGTAGTAATTTTGATATCGAAATATTTTAACAAGGATCATGTTTTTAATATCAATATTTCAGCTTTTTTGGACACCAATTTAATCACAAAATAGTTTAGTATTCCTGCCATTTTTTTTACCTCTCTCACATCTGAAAAATGGTTCTCTTTAAAAACTTTTTACATTTGGGAAAACATAAAAAAGTCGCACGAGGTTAAATCTGGTGAATACGCAGGATATGGTGAAAGGATTTGCTTCATTTACCCGTTTTGGTAGTAATTTTGATGTCAAAATATTTTTCCGGTGAACATGTTTTTGATATTATTTCAGCCTTTCAAAAACCAATTCAATTACAGTTTTTTTCTAATTCAAACTCCAGTCACTAAACTATTGTAGTATTTTGACATTTTTTCATCTCTTTCACGTCTACAAAAGGTTTTTCTTTAAGAACTTTTTATAGTTGGTAAAAAAAGTCGTACAGGGTTAAATCTGGTAAATACGGGGATGTGGTGAGGAACTTTACTTTTAATGAAAATGCTTTTATTAAAAAACACGTTTTGGTAGTAATTTTGATATCAAAATTTAACGAGGAGCCATCTTTTTATTATCATTATTTTAGCCTTTCAGAAGCTAATTTCTAATCAAACTACTCACTTATTTTAGTAATTCTCTCATTTTTTCGTCCCTTTTGCATCCACAAAACGTTTCCCGTTGAACACTTTACATTTGGGAAAACAAACAAAAAATGTCGCACGGTGTTATATCTGGTGAATACGAAGGATGAGGTGCGGGTTTTTTTAGTGATAATTTTGATATCAAAATAGTTTAACGAGGATCATGTTTTTAATATCAATATTTCAGCCTTTTAGACACCAATTCAACCACAAAATAGTTTAGAATTCCTGTCATTTTTTCATCCCTCTCACATTTTCAAAACGTTTCTCTTTAAGAACATTTTAAATTTGGGAAAACACAAAAAAAGTCGCACTATGTTATATCTGGTGAATACGGAGGATGTGGTGGGGGGATTTACTTCATTTACCCGTTTTGGTAGTAATTTTGATATCATATTTTTCCGTTGAACATGTTTTTAATATCAATATTTCAGCATTTTTTTTTTTCTAATTCAAACATCAGCCACTTATTATTTTAGTAATACTGTCATTTTTTCGTCCCTTTCATATCCACAAAACATTTCTATTTAAATGCTTTTTAAATTTGGGAAAAACGGAAAAAAAGTCGCACGGGGTTAAATCTGGTGAATACGGAGGATGTGGTTCGGGGTTTTACTTCATTTTTGACAAAAATGCTTTCTAAACTGCTAATAAGAACCAGTTTTACTGATAATTTTCATATCAAAATCTTTTTCCGTTGGACATGTTTTTAATATCAATATTTCAGCCTTTTGGATACCAATTCGATCATCATTTTTTTACTAATTCAAACTTTAGTCACTTATTTTAGTAATACTGTCATTTTTTCGCCCCTTTTACATCCACTAAACATTTCTTTTTGAACCATTTTTAAATTTGGGAAAACGTAAAAAAAGTCTCACGGGGTTAAATCTGGTGAATACGGAGGATGTGGTACGGGGTTTTACTTCATTTTTGACGAAAATGATTTCTAAACTGTTAATAAAAACCCGTTTTAGCGATAATTTTGATATCAAAATATTTTAACTAAAAGCCAATTCAATCACCATTTTTTTCTAATTCACCTATTTTAGCAATTATATCATCTTCTGATCCCTTTTACCCCCTATAAAACGTTTATCTTTAAGAACTTTTTAGATTTGGGAAAACAAAGTCACACGGTGTTAAATGTGGTGAATACGGAGGATTTGGTGTGGGGTTTCCTTAATTTTTGACGAAAATGCTTTCTAAACTACTAACACAACTCGTTTTGATAACAATTTTGTTACCTAAATATTTTGAATATTTGAGCCTTTCAGACACCAATTCAATTACAATTTTTTTTCTAATTCAAACTCCATGAAGTCAGTTTAAAAATATTTTGGAGATTCTGCACTTTTCAATCCTCTCAAAAAGTTTCTCTTTGAGAACTTTTTACATTTGGGAAGACAAAAAAAAGTCGCACTGGGTTAAATCTGGTGAATACGGAGGATGTCGTACGGGGTTAACTTATTTTATATCCAAATATTTTGGTAAGAACGTCTTTCATGACATCCCAATCAACTCCAAAAGTTCATCAAGAGACAGGAAGCTGTTTTTTTAGATTATTCCGATTTCTATCCACAATTTCTACAGTTCAACTAGCAGGAAACGTCTATATTGCAGAAGATCAGATCTAAATATCCCAAAATACCTTTGACTGACGTAAAAATGCATTATTTTTTCCAATTTTTGTATTATGAAAACATTGGCTTGTGAATGGTTATTTTTTTCAGTTTGTGATGTCTTCCAGTTTTAAGATTATCTTGCAAAAAAAAAAATTAGTTTGAAAATGATTTTAAATATTTTCTAAGAAATTTAACGTGAAAAATATGCTCCTGTGATAATACAGTAAAATTAAACAGAATCGTAGATAGATATATGTCAAATTTGCGGCAGTTTTCAAATAAATTGAAGGAAAAATAATCCAATAATATTTTCATTTAACTCTTAAATGAGTTATTTTCTGGAGTGCATTTTCTTTTATTTAATGATCTATTTTATTGAAATAAAATTTCTTGATAAAATATTTATCTTGTGAACGTTCCTGTCGTAGATAGGGATTCTGTGTTAAATGTAGTTTTTGTATTTTTAGTTTCTTGACTTTTATTTTAGTTTTGGTAATGGTTTCGATAATTTTAGTACAGTAAACAAGTAATAAAATATATCTAACGCATTTTCTTCATATATATTCATTTGTGATACTGTAGTTAAATAAAATAAATGGTTTAAGTAAAAGGTTAAAAAATATTAGTTTTCGTTTTATTGTTTCCTTTTTTTACCTTGTTCAAAATTACAACGATTCTAGGTAATTATAAGTAGTCGCCTTCAAGTAAATTTTTTTGAAAAAATGAAAAAAATCATTCGCAATTGCCTAATTACTGTCAGGATTATATTCACGCCAAAATGAACAAAATAAATAAATTGAAAATGTGCGCTGTTGGAAATACATCTAACATGTTCCGAAGTTCCGGCCCTACCCTTAAATTAACTTCAGAGTTGATTATTCATGATATACCACCTTTCAAAGGCAAGATTACAAACTATACATTTCAAACGATCACGCGATACACTTTAGATTTGAAGCAAACCTAAATCAGGAGTAGGCGGGCTAAGTGATCTAAGTGTCAAAATATTAATTTTCGTTTTTTTATCAATATGATCTATATGCCAGTGGCAATGTCCCACTAAAAGATCTAAGTGCCAATTTCATCGTAGTGGTTGAAACCGCCGGTCAAAGCGGATACTGCCTGTATGTTCCCCATGATCTCTGAATCTTTATTTGATTTCTGGAAATTTTTAATTTTGCCACTTAGGTCGGCCACCCTTCAAATAGGTAAAAATAGGTAAGCAACGCTGGCAGAAGATTCAGAGTACCCTTGTAATATTAGATTCACAACTTGTTTTGTTCCTAACACAATATGTGACGCTTCCACAATGAGACACCAGCCAGCTTTTGTTTCTTATTCTAATGAATTAATTCAATGACTAGTTTTAAGCAAATTGAGTAAATAAGTTAACTAATCATTTTTCTAACTGTAAATGTGTTGTGATGTTTTCAATTTGATTTTAACTGTTAAATAATTTAAATTAAAACACTGAAAAGTAACATGTGACTTTTAATTACACGATTAAAGTGCCAGGCAACGACATTATGCAACAAGGATGATCCTCTTCTTAAGGTTGCAGTTTAAAACGACCTCCTCAGCGATCAGGTGCCGTTACATATCTTTTATTCGAACCTGTAGTAACAACGTTAAACAAAAACCCTAATTTGGACCGAAGCTTCTGCTACTGACTCTCGGGTGATCGCATTTTGTGCACCCGATGTCTTATTTTGTTAGGATAGAAATAGTATTGTCACAAAAATATTTTATTAAAAAGCATTTTTGTTTTAAACATAACGGAATTTAGGAAGGGAAGGGGACTGAGGCTTAACATTAGCACTATGTATCGGGCCAATGTAAAGGACTGGTGTATTTTTTAATTACGACAAGCATTAGGTTTTACATGATAATAATAGGATATTTTGAAGATGCTTCAAAAAAATTACTATATTTTCTATAATATATATATATATATATATATATATATATATATATATATATATATATATATATATATATATATTATAAAGAGATAAAAGGATTATTGTGCAAATACCGCAAAAAAATGAAAAAAAAGGCCTAAAGGTAAACGGTAGACGTGTTTCTGACTATTGGTCTTCATCAGTTCGGTGCAGCCAAGTTCAAAATAGAATGGAACTAGCGATGAAATCAAATCAACAGGAGATCACTCAAGAAGTCAACCACATAATTGTGGACTTTGCTAACATTCCCAGTGCTTACTAGGAAAATATTACCGTCGCCACGGAGGTAAGTTATAGCCGCTATGAAGATGCATCCAAGCCCAGGGAAACTAAACAAGAGAAGGTTTAGTGCGGTGAAAAAATGTAAAAGATAAAAGGATTATTGGGCAAATACCGCAAAAAATGAAAAAAAAAAAAATGCCTAAAGGCAAACCGTAGACACGTGTTTCTGACTATTGGTCTTCATCAGTACGGTGCAGCCAAGTTCAAAAGAGAATGGAACTAGCGATGAAATCAAATCAATAGGAGATCACTCAAGAAGCCAACCACACATTTGTGGACTGTGCTAACATTCCCAGTGATTACTAGGAAAATATTAGCGTCGCCACGGAGGTAAGTTATAGCCGCTATGAAGATGCATCCAAGCCCAGGGAAACTAAACAAGAGAAGGTTTAGTGCGGTGAAAAAATGTAAAAAATAAAAGGATTATTGGGCAAATACCGCAAAAAATGAAAAAAAAAAATGACAAAAGGCAAACCGTAGACACGTGTTTCTGACTATTGGTCTTCATCAGTACGGTGCAGCCAAGTTTAAAAGAGAATGGAATTAGCGATGAAATCAAATCAATAGGAGATCACTCAAGAAGCCAACCACACATTTGTGGACTGTGCTAACATTCCCAGTGATTACTAGGAAAATATTAGCGTCGCCACGGAGGTAAGTTATAGCCGCTATGAAGATGCATCCAAGCCCAGGGAAACTAAACAAGAGAAGGTTTAGTGCGGTGAAAAAATGTAAAAGATAAAAGGATTATTGGGCAAATACCGCAAAAAATTAAAAAAAAATGCCTAAAGGCAAACCGTAGACACGTGTTTCTGACTATTGGTCTTCATCAGTACGGTGCAGCCAAGTTCAAAAGAGAATGGAACTAGCGATGAAATCAAATCAATAGGAGATCACTCAAGAAGCCAACCACACATTTGTGGACTGTGCTAGCATTCCCAGTGATTACTAGGAAAATATTAGCGTCGCCACGGAGGTAAGTTATAGCCGCTATGAAGATGCATCCAAGCCCAGGGAAAGTAAACAAGAGAAGGTTTAGTGCGGTGAAAAAATGTAAAAGATAAAAGGATTATTGGGCAAATACCGCAAAAATTTAAAAAAAAAATGCTTAAAGGCAAACCGTAGACACGTGTTTCTGACTATTGGTCTTCGTCAGTACGGTGCAGCCAAGTTCAAAAGAGAATGGAACTAGCGATAAAATCAAATCAATAGGAGATCACTCAAGAAGCCAACCACACATTTGTGGACTGTGCTAACATTCCCAGTGATTACTAGGAAAATATTAGCGTCGCCACGGAGGTAAGTTATAGCCGCTATGAAGATGCATCCAAGCCCAGGGAAACTAAACAAGAGAAGGTTTAGTGCGGTGAAAAAATGTAAAAGATAAAAGGATTATTGGGCAAATACCGCAAAAAATGAATAAAAAAAAATTATGCCTAAGGGCAAACCGTAGACACGTGTTTCTGACTATTGGTCTTCATCAGTACGGTGCAGCCAAGTTCAAAAGAGAATGAAACTAGCGATGAAATCAAATCTCAATAGGAGATCACTCAAGAAGCCAACCACACATTTGTGGACTGTGCTAACATTCCCAGTGATTACTAGGAAAATATTAGCGTCGCCACGGAGGTAAGTTATAGCCGCTATGAAGATGCATCCAAGCCCAGGGAAACTAAACAAGAGAAGGTTTAGTGCGGTGAAAAAATGTAAAAGATAAAAGGATTATTGGGCAAATACCGCAAAAAATGAAAAAAAAAATGCCTAAAGGCAAACCGTAGACACGCGTTTTTGACTATTGGTCTTCATCAGGACGGTGCAGCCAAGTTCAAAAGAGAATGGAACTAGCGATGAAATCAAATCAATAGGAGATCACTCAAGAAGCCAACCACACATTTGTGGACTGTGCTAACATTCCCAGTGATTACTAGGAAAATATTAGCGTCGCCACGGAGGTAAGTTATAGCCGCTATGAAGATGCATCCAAGCCCAGGGAAACTAAACAAGAGAAGGTTTAGTGCGGTGAAAAAATGTAAAAGATAAAAGGATTATTGGGCAAATACCGCAAAAAATGAAAAAAAAAATGCCTAAAGGCAAACCGTAGACACGTGTTTCTGACTATTGGTCTTCATCAGTACGGTGCAGCCAAGTTCAAAAGAGAATGGAACTAGCGATGAAATCAAATCAATAGGAGATCACTCAAGAAGCCAACCACACATTTGTGGACTGTGCTAACATTCCCAGTGATTACTAGGAAAATATTAGCGTCGCCACGGAGGTAAGTTATCGCCGCTATGAAGATGCATCCAAGCCCAGGGAAACTAAACAAGAGAAGGTTAAGTGCGGTGAAAAAATGTAAAAGATAAAAGGATTATTGGGCAAATACCGCAAAAAATGAAAAAAAAAATAGCCTAAAGGCAAACCGTAGACACGTGTGAGCCACCCTGTATATATATATATATATATATATATATATATAGATTCGTCCTGCCGACTTTGTGACATCATGTCGCAAAAATGTTGCTATCTTTGTAACATCCGTTTGCGATGTGACATCCAAATTCAGATGTCACAACGTTTTTGGGGTTCAAACATCATAGGGGAGGTTTAAAAGAGTACCAAACAAATTTCAGCTGGATGTTATAATGCTTGATTTTCAATTTTGTGTATAAATTTAGTTCCAGTGTATAGATGTGAAGGTGGCGCTCGCGTCAGTTGGTTTTGTATATTTTGTATATTAAATATTTTAGTCCCTCGACTGTCTAACATCCACCATTGAGTATATTAGAATTTACTCACTCGACTGTCTGACATTCAACATTCAGTATATTAAAACTTACTCACCCGACTATATGACATCCACCATCGAGTATATTAGAACTTTACACACTAGGTTATGTGACATCCAAAAAATTTATTTTAGATATATTTGGATTTTCATTTTAAGATCTATTTTATGTTAACACATTAACTGCCAAAATTTTTTCTTGGGTTTCGCACAGAGCCAACAAGTTTTTTAAATGCATTCACTCTCTGTAACTATTTAATAAATATATAATATATGCATCTATATTAATACAAGGTGTATCAACAATGGGTGAGTGAACGATGACTGTAATTTATATTAAAATAAATTAAAATAAAACAAATAAAAAAAATAAAATAAATTATAATAGATTAAAATAATTTAAATAATTAAATAATTTAAATAAATTTAAATAAATTTAAATAAATTTAAATAAATTTAAATAAATTTAAATAAATTTAAAAAAATTTAAATAAATTTAAATAAATTTAAATAAATTTAAATAAATTTAAATAAATTTAAATAAATTTAAATAAATTTAAATAAATTTAAATAAATTTAAATA